TTTCTTTATATATATATATATATATATATATTATTAGTTTTTTTACAAGTGATAAGATGATTTTATTTTATTTTTTGTTTGTAATTTTAGAATATAATCTCGAAACTACATATTTAATTGAAATTAAATAATCAAAACTGATATTATACATGGAAATAACTAAAGTCCCTTTTAATAATTACTACTAGCAACACACTTCCACAACTATCATCTGTTCTAAAATATTCTTAATACTTTATTATTAGAATAATAAGGATATGTATTTTTAATAGTACTTCTAAAATTTATTTGGTTTTGTTGTGGTTTCACATAAAACACCTACTTTAATTAATTATAGAGAAGCAAGGAATTACGTAATTATCTCATAATCATCTTCCACATGTTTTTTTCAAGGATAGCATGCTTGCCTTTTCTAAAAACAAATTCTTTATCAATTATAATAATCTTTTACTCTATTTTTTTGCTTTATTAATATGAATAACTTATTTTCTTAAACTCAAATTTAGTCAAACGATAGGAATAAATTAAGTTAATCTTGTACTCTTAGCATTTTTGTCAAGCTATTAGAAGAACTAAACCTGTATATATAAAAAGAATATTTAATACATGTAATTAGGAATATTTAAGGCACCGTTTTGGAACGTGGTGCAAATCGCGTTCTACAAAAAATTTATTTATTTTATTAAAAATTATTTTTTATATATATTTTGGATCATTTTGATGTGTTGATCTCAAAAATAATTTTTTAAAAATAAAAAAAATATTATTTTGATGTATTTCAGCATAAAAACACTTTGAAAAACAACCACAACATACTCCCAAATAGACCCTTAATAGTATATTATTAAAATAATAAGGATATGGATTTTTTTTCTTTAGATAAATATATGAACAAGGATAGTAGATTTGTTTTTCATGTCAATGGAAAATAATCCTTATTCTTTTGATTTATTATTTTCGTTCTTCGTTTTTTTATAAAAGTTTTGTTTGTTTTCAATTTAATCCTTCAATTATAATTTGTCAAATATTTTGCTTTCAATTGGATTTTTATTCTTTAATTTCTAGTTTTTTCCTTAGTTTTTTTGGTTAAAATTTTAGTAGTTTTTAATTTCAATCAAGGTTTATGTTATTTTATTTTTTAATTTGACTCTCATTATTTTGATTTGTTTTTTTATTTGTGAAAGTTATTTTTCTTTTCAATTTAATATTCCAATTAAAAATTTTTGCGGTCCCTTTAATTTTTTTTTAATTTTAATTTTTACCCTCATTCTTTTAATTATAATTTTTATTTTTATTTTGATCCTTTTGTGTAATTGATTTTTTTCTCAGTTTCATCCTTTAGCTTTTGATTTGTTAGGGATCGAGTTTCGTAATTTTTTCATTTATAGTGCTTCCGAACTAATGACACGGGTCACAAGTTTTAAAGTTATTGCGGTTCAACATTCTTTTATCTTGCTCATTTTCTTTTTCAATTTTATTGTTCCATATTATTATAAAAAAAATATTTTTATTTTAATCAATCAATTTCATATGTGTTTTTATTTCTATTATTTTTTATTGATTTTAATAAATAAATTTAATAAATACAACTAGGTAAATATTTTATTTTACGAGATCAAATATCTTAATCTACATCTATCTTTTAATTTTTCAAGTTTTTGTTGTAGTTATTGTTAACGAGTTTTTTTTTCATTTATTTACATAGATGATTATCAATTTATTTAATTAGATACTTGTATAAGCCTTTTGATTTATATTTTAAATTTTTTATGTAAAAAATCACATTAAAATAACTTGTATATCTAGTTGAGGTTTAAATTTTAGGAGCTATTAGAAGAACTAAACATGTATATAAAAAAAGAATATTTAATATATGTAATTAGGAATTTTTAAGGCACTGTTTCGAAACGTGGTGCAAATCGCATTCCACAAACATTTAATTTTTTTTTTGTTAAAAATTATTATTTTTATATATTTTGAATTGTTTTGATGCGTTGATCTCAAAAATAATTTTTTTAAAATAAAAAAAAACATTATTTTGATGCATTTCAATACAAAAAATACTTTAAAAAACCACCACAACCACACTCCCAAATAGATTTTTAATAGTATATTATTAAATTAATAAGGATATGGATTTTTTTTCCTTAGATAAATATATGAACAAGGATAATTGATGTGTTTTTCATATTAATGGAAAATAATCCTTATTCTTTTATAAAAGTATTGTTTGTTTTCAATTTACTTGTTCAATTACAATTTGTCAAATATTTTGCTTTTAATTGGATTTTTATTCTTTAATTTCTATTTTTTCCTTAGTTTTTTTGTTAAACTTTTAGTAGTTTTTAATTTCAATCAAGGTTTATGTTATTTTATTTTTTAATTTGGCTCTCATTATTTTGATTTGTTTTTCCATTCGTGAAAGTTATTTTTCTTTTCAATTTAATATTCCAATTGATAATTTTTGCTTTCCCTTTAATTTTTTTAATTTTAATTTTCACCCTCATTTTTTTAATTATAGTTTTTATTTTTATTTTGATCTTTTTGTGTAATTAATTTTTTTCTCAGTTTCATCCTTTAACTTCTAATTTGTTAAGGATTGAGTTTCATAATTTTTTAATTTATAGTGCTTCCAAACTAATAACTCAGTCACAAGTTTTAAAGTTAATACAGTTTAATATTCTTTTATCTTGCTCATTTTCTTTTTCAATTTTATCGTTCTATATTATTATAAAAAAATATTTTTATTTTTATTTTTATTTTAATCAATTAGTTTCATACGTGTTTTTATTTTTATTACTTTTATTATTGATTGTAATACATAAATTCAATAAATACAACTAGGTAAATATTTTATTTTACGAGATCAAATATTTTGATTTACATCTATCTTTTAATTTTTTCAAGTTTTTGTTATAGTTATTGTTAATGATTTTGTTTTCATTTATTTACATGGATGATTATTGATTTATTTAATTAGATACTTGCATAAGCTTTTGCATAAGCTTTTTGATTTATATTTTAAATTTTTTATGTAAAAAAACACATTAAAATAACTTGCATATCCAATTGAGGTTTAAATTTTAGGTTTATATATATATATATATATATATATGAGAAAGGAATGCAATTCTAATTGTATTCAATGGGAAAGACATGAATTGTTTAATAGTCAATATATTTAAACCTAAACCATATTTTGTATTAAATTTATATGAATGCATGGTTAAAATTATATGAAGAGAAATTAATTTCAATCGACATTCAAACTAGTTTGACGATAACTCTTACCATTAAACTAATAAAATAAAAGATTTAACATGTAAACTGGGTTTCTTTAGCCCTATATATAGACAAAAAGTAGAAAAAAAATAAAATATTCATGCCAAAGTTGAAAAAAGAGAAAAATATGAGAAGAGGTTTTAAATAAATAGTTTGAATTTAGTTTATGTTATCACATAAACCAATTGAATTATTTAAAATTTATATTAGTTATGTTTAGATAAAATGTAAAAATAATAATAATGAAGAAAATCATCTCTTACACTAGTTCAATCTTTATTAATAAGTCCTCCAAGTTGTTTAAAAGTTTATGATAATACAGGATTTGAATTATGTAATTTTTGAAACTTTATCATTTTGTTAATTATGCTTTTTCTTTCTTAATAAAATTACAAAATCAATTGATACAATAGCATCTCTTTAGAGTAATAAGAATTTCATTCTAAATGCATCAAGAAAATTATATATATAATTTTATTACTCTTTTTATTTTAGTTTTAGGGAAAAATCTCTTAAAACCAAATTCAAATTAACAATAAAAAGTTAAAAATTGAAACTAAACACCAATTAAAAATCTCTTCAAACCAATTTCAAATATAATCAAATCATTAAGAAATTGATTACATGTGAATAATTAAACAACCACATTATATTACTACCTCAATGCAAAGCCATATGACTAGTTTAGTAACAGTTTCCTATTCCTCGCATATAAGGAGAGCCTTCATTAATCCTATATTGCTCGCCCTCTGTACGATCCTACAGTTTCCATTACATTATTGTATGCTAAATTTCTTTTAACATGGATAATTTGCAGGCCTTTGTGAGTTAAAGCATCTCCAGGAACTAGATATCAGCTATAATGATCTCACTGGTTCTTTGCCTTCGTGTTTCTCGAATTTGACAAACCTTCGAGTTTTAGATATCTCTTTCAACCACTTCACTGGGAATATATCCTCGAGTCCCCTCGGTAGTCTCACGTCCATTCGAGATCTAAACCTGTCAGACAATCACTTCCAAATACCAATCTCACTTGGCCCATTTTTTAACCTTTCAAACCTCAAGAATTTGAATGGTGACCGTAATGAGATATACGAGTCAACAGAGCTGGTACACAATTTAATTCCAAGGTTCCAGTTACAGAGGCTTTCTTTGTCACGTACTGGACTCGGCGGGACATTTCCGAAATCCCTGTACTATCAGCATGACCTTCAATTTGTTGATCTCTCACACATCAAAATGACAGGAGAATTTCCGAGCTGGTTGTTACAAAACAACACAAAACTTGAAGAGCTTTATTTGGTCAACAATTCTCTTTCAGGATCTTTCCAATTAGCAAATCATTCCCTTGTGAATTTGTCACGTTTGGATATCTCGAGAAATCTCATCCACAGTCAAATCCCTACTAAAATTGGAGCATGTTTCCCCAGGTTAGTGTTTTTGAACCTGTCCAGAAATGATTTCGATGGCAGCATTCCCTCTTCGATCAGCAATATGAGCCTTTTGAAAGTCTTAGATTTGTCCAACAATAGCTTATCAGGCCACATACCCGAGCAGTTGGTGGAAGGCTGTTTATCATTAGAGGTTATCATGCTTTCAAATAATTATTTCAAAGGCCAGCTTTTCTGGAAAAATTTCAACTTAAGATATTTGACAGAGCTGATATTAAGAGGGAATCAGTTAACTGGGATTCTTCCGAATAGCTTGTCTAATTGTTCTGCATTGGAAGCATTGGATGTTAGTCACAATAATTTGTCTAGTAAGATCCCGAGATGGATTAGGAATATGTCTTCTCTTCAATATTTAGACCTTTCAGAGAACAATCTTTTTGGAAGTCTACCATCCAGCTTTTGTTCTTCAAGGATGATGACAGAAGTTTATTTATCTAAAAATAAACTAGAAGGATCACTGATTGATGCATTTGATGGCTGCCTGTCGCTGAACAGATTAGATCTTAGCCATAATTATTTTGGAGGTAAAATTCCCGAGTCAATTGGTTCTTTGTTCCAGTTGAGCTTTCTTCTTTTAGGTTATAATAATCTAGAAGGTGAAATCCCAAGCCAGCTGTGCAAACTAGAGAAATTAAGCTTGATTGATCTTTCTCATAATAATCTGTGTGGTCATATTCTTCCATGCCTACAACCTAGCAGCAAGTGGTATCGGGAACGAGAAGCATCTATAAATCCTTCTGATAGTGCTCCAGGTCCTATGCCATTTGCCGCTGCTCCTATTCCTTTGGAAGATCCTTCTGTGAATAAAGCTTTTGAGTTTACAACAAAGAGTAGATCTTATTCATTCAAGGGAATCATCCTCACTTACTTCTCTGGTATCGATCTCTCCTGCAACAATTTGACTGGAGAGATTCCCTTTGAGCTTGGATACCTTAGCAACATCCAGGTGTTGAATCTATCCCATAACAGTTTAACAGGTCCAATCCCACCTACGTTTTCAAACCTGAAGAAAACTGAAAGCATGGATCTTTCCTACAACAACTTGAACGGGGAAATTCCTCGTCAGCTTCTCAACTTAAACTTCCTTTCTGCTTTCAGTGTAGCCTACAATAACTTATCTGGCAAAACACCAGAGATGGTTGGACAATTCTCAACATTCAACAAGTCTAGCTACGAGGGAAATCCGATGCTTTTTGGACCACCACTCACCAATAACTACATTGGAGAAATATCACCATCACCGTTGCCAAGGTATAAGACCGACAAAAATGAAGAAAACGGCTTCATTGATATGGAGGCTTTCTATGTGACATTTTCAGTTGCATACATCGTGGTTCTGTTGGTAATAGGTGCAATTCTGTACATAAACCCGTATTGGCGACAATCATGGTTTTACTTTATTGGGGAGAGCATCAATAATTGCTATTACTATCTTGTAGACAATCTACTTGTGCCAGCCAAGTTCAGACGATTTCAGCCTTGTGTCTGAAACGGTATTGGCTCTGTGTATACTTTATTTAGAATTTACATTTTCAAGTCGTGATTAATCAATAAACCAGTCATATATATATATGATGTAGATATTGGCAGAGGAACTTTATTCCTAAAATAAAGTGTGGTTATGGTTCTTGTTTGGCCTTTTCATGAATTCTGTACTCGTGATTTTTTATTCTTATTGTAGTTAGTTCAGGTTTTGTCAAAAATCTCACAAGACAATTCAAGATTTGTATTGAGTAGAAATTGTCCTATTCAGGGTACGTAGTTTAAGGAGGAAACTATGAAGGGAACTGATTATTAATTATTTCGTCGTTCACTGTACCTTGGACACAAGTTAGCTGCTACCAAGGAAAAACTAAAGGACGGGCTTAACTGTCTGATCATAAGAAACTATCTTAACTACATCTTTCTCGGTCAACAATAACATTCTTGATTCCTGCTAAAATTCCATTTCCATCTTTCTCTTTCATTTATCTATTTCTTAATTCAGAAACCCTTTTCAGCTTTATCTGTTGTAAGAACACAGAAAGAAATTTTTTACTACTATGTTGTCTTGGGAATTCCTGAGGAAATCCTCAGAGCTGGCCCGTAGAGTGCTTGCCAATCAACGGACCTGCAAAAGAGCAATTCTCACACAATCAGAAGGGCCTGATCCATTACCAGCGGCAGCTTCTTTGTCAAGATCATCCTTCAGTGGGTCCCAAAATGATGACCATAAGAGTGGAGATGCATTGCTGAAATTTTTATTAAGATCAGTCGCTTCAGGAGTTGTGATTGTTGGCTCCAGCTTGAGCTTTAGCAACTGGTATCCTTCCTTGGTTGGTAAGTGTTCGTTTGTTTCTTTCGCCGACATTGCAAACGATGCAGCATGGGTGTCAAGTGATGATCTTCTTCCATACAAGAAGAAGAAAAGGTTCCTCCTTGGAGTTACCTCTGTAATTTTTTTCTTTACATACAATTTCGGTTTTTCGAATTGAGTCATGCATAATATACCAGATTCTTTTCTACAATATTTTTTTTGCCAGCATATGAACAGATCATACAGACTTTTTCAATACCTGGTATTGGGTACTCCTTTGTATCATTTTTGTCGATTGTTCCAGATTCATACAGGAGAAGAGTTTTCTTTAATTATGAAAAGCGCATCAGGTTGCAAAGCCCTCCAGAGAAGGTACGCAAATCTTTCAGGAATGGAAATATTTTCTTTGTATTTATGACAGCATTCAATCACACACATTATTGGCGACTCAATTCATTGCAGCAACATGTCTAACTTTAAGCAATGAGAAATTAAATAATGAACTTGTGTGTTGTTATTTGGTTTTCTGTCTGTTGAAACAAAGCTTTCTTCTTTTCTGATTTACCTATTCACTGTGATTCCAAGTATGCACTTTTATTAATTGGCAATCCTACGGCTAATCCTGGTATGGCAAGGTCATTTCAAGCATGTCTTGGACATTAGATCTCAATCCTGTGTCTCCGGCGGTGGAAGCTATCTAGGCTTTCCAATGCAGAGCAATGGACTACTTCAAAACCATTTGGAGGACATTTATGTTTTACCTGATTGTCTGATCGGGAAGCTTGAAACCTTTAAATGACTTACGAATGGCTAATTCATCCACGAATGGAGCCAAACATTCAAATATTGTTAGGGGTTTGTATTAAGGAGAGTTAAGGATGTGCATCAAGACAACCTTGCTGTCCTTCAATAAGAGCACCCCAAAACTCAGAAGTGGCATGAAAGTCAGTTGTCAACTACCCACTATCTTCCAACTCCTCCTAGTTTTAATAGGATTGATAATTTTGTTCAATATTTTTCATTTTGTTTCCCTGATATTCTTTTCTTTTCTTTTCTTTTCATTTTGTTTCCCTGATATTCTTTTATTTTTTATCTTCCTGGGTGTGGAAGCCATTATTACAACTATGAGTACTAGTTATATGTTATGCTGCTTCTTTTTTGTGTAATGTTTCATTTATTTTCCTTTCAGGTTTTTGAGTACTTCGCATCTTTGAAAAAGCCTGATGGTGAAGTTCTTACGACACCAGCAGACTTGATGAGAGCAGTAGTTCATGTATTTCCTCCATCAGAGTCAAATCGCGTTAGAGAGGGATTTCTGAGAGGGGAAACAGTCCCTGGGGAATTGCATTGTGCACCTTCAAGATTTTTCATGCTTTTTGACACTAACAGTAATGGACTTATTTCTTTTTCAGAGTAATAATCTATTGTCTCTGTTGAATTTGCTGGCCTTATGAATTTCTTCAACATCATTCATGTTGCATCACATGTTCTGTTACAGAAACTTGTGTTCTTACTTAGTCCTTTCCATGTTCAACGTTTAGGTACATCTTCTTTGTCACCCTGCTCAGCATTCCTGAATCAAGTTTTTCTGTTGCATTTAAGATGTTTGACCTCGACAATAATGGGTGAGTTGCTTGTAGTTTCAAGATCTATGTGCAGTTGGCAGGTGACCAGACCAGGAAGCTACTACAAGTAAAGACATTTAGTTCAGTAGAAATATGAATTGCCTTTCTCTTGAAGAAAATTTTTCATTTACTGCTTTCTGGACACACAGTCCACATTTTTCATCGTTTAGCTTCTGCAGAATATCAAAACAGTTTTGAAGTTCATTGATACTTATAGTACAATTTGCTTCTTGATTCTCTTATTTCTATTTGTGCTTATTTAAATGTTCGCGTGTTTATAACAGACAAATTGACAGAGAAGAATTTAAGAAAGTGATGGGTTTAATGAGAGCTCAAAACAGGCAAGGGGCAGGCCTCAGAGATGGAAGGAGATTTGGGTTGAAAGTAGCGGAGCCTGTGGAGAATGGTGGCCTCTTAGAATACTTCTTTGGCAAAGATGGCAGGACCTGTCTCCAACATGAAAGATTTGTCCAATTTTTGAGGGACTTGCATGATGAAGTATGTGTTTATATTTCTAACTTCTTATTGCAGTTTCTGTTGTAATCTGTGTTTATATTTCCTACTTTTTATTACAGTTTCTGATGTAATCTCCCATGAAGGGTTTTAAATGAACAGGATTTTTGTTGGGAAATGTCTGGAATGTCATAATATTTGATTCGATAGAGGAGAAGTTTCCTTTTCCAGTCTAATTGTGCTCTTATGAATCATCAATTCTTGATTCTGTTCATGATCATTGTCTCATTGTACTCGTATACAATTCACAAGAACTGAATCTGTTGAATTTTACAGATTTTACGGCTGGAATTCGCCCATTATGATTACAGATCATGTGGTACTATATCAGCTAAAGATTTTGCCTTGTCCTTGGTTGCGTCAGCTGACATTAGACACATTAGCAAGCTACTCGATCGGGTAGATGAAGCAAGCAATGAACCACAGATAAGAGACATACGAATTACATTAGAGGAGTTCAAAAGCTTCGCAGAGCTACGTAGACAGTTGCAGTATTTATCTCTCGCCATTTTTAGCCATGGAAAAGTGAATGGGGTGTTAACGAGAAAAGATTTCCAGAGAGCTTCATCGCAGGTAAATATTTAGCTGATTGTTACATTTCTTCAAGCTTTGTTGACATCCCATTAACTGTCTTACTTCTCATACTGATATGTGGTTTAAGTTTTACTAGGTATGCGGCATCTCCATCACCAATGATTTGGTTGACATAACATTCCATGTCTTCAATGCTAATCGCGATGGGAACTTAAGTTCGGATCAGTTTGTAAGAGTTCTGCAGGGACGTGAGACGGCAAGCTGGATCGCTAGAGAACCAGGATTGAAGGGATTGATGTCTTGTTGTGCAAACTGCGCCAAAAATTACTCATCTGCAAAGCGTCTCCTCTAATATATTGGCCAATACATGGTAAACCTGGACATTTACGTAAAGCATAGCACCATAGGTATGACAGGTTAGTGACTAACCAACATCTAGCTGCCCATTTTTATTTTTATTTTCTTCATGGGGTTGCACTAGAAGTATTCACTACTGAGATAGGTATTAAAGATTGTCAGGTTTCGTCTGCAGATTGAAGTGAATGTATCATGGATAACCCAGAAAAACCACGGCATTCTCCACTTCCCAACTCTGATCGATCGGAAACATGCTCAGACTCCAATCCAACATGTATTTGCTCCTTCAAGTCACACCAAGTTGTCTCTCATTTAAGTTTTAAAGGTGAAATACTCCCTGGACATTTCCTCTCCTACTCAAGGTCATATAGGCCAGAGATGGGATTAGTATGCTTGTTCTTGCCATGAATATAGTACAGTTACTACAGTACAGAGGCTTCGCTTTGTTTGTAGAAAATTATGCCATCAATAATTTTCCACGATTTTCACAGCCTTGCGTATAGATGTATCCGTGGAGTCTATGTTTGTTGTTAAGCCAGCATGGCCTTGTAAAACCTCTCTGGTATTGTTCTCCTTATCAACCTTTCCTTCCTTTCCTATTTTTACTTTGGCAAAAGCAGTGTAAAAAGGTGTTCAGGCAATTTGCCTTCCTCTTCTGTTCAATATTTTGTTTAATATTTCATTATGCTCCTTTATCACGTACTGCGCATCTGCCTCTAGGATTGAATTGCAACCAAATTCAATCGATTTATATGGAACACGGGTTTTTCATACTTTCGAAGTTCAAAAGCTAGTCCACATGTTCTTTCAGGAGGAGGCATTTTTTGTTTTTTGGAGCTCAAAAGATGCATTTAGAACTTGGGACAGAACCACTAATCAAGTTCCAGTAGTAACTTTCTTCATCATTCTCTACAAAGAACTGAAGCTACAGATCTAGATAGAATATCCAAAGTCCATCCTCACTTGTAATCAAGCACTTCATGAAAAATTGCTGGTGAACCAATACTTGAATGATAATGTACACTGTTAAATTCCAAAATAAATTTCTATTGTAAGAAAGCTCGTGCAAGCAGTATGGTGCAGATGGTTTACCAAGTGAATAAGCAAATGAATATTTGCATTCATCATTCAAGCGATTGCGAGTATTTTTAGCATAAAAGTCAACATTGATACTGTGTCCATGCAACATACGCAACCCAGACTACCATGTCCATACTTGTTTATAATACAGATAAACACAGGAAATGCAAAATATTCACATTTATGTTCATGCAGGCATTATTTGTGAGTCTGTATATAGCATCTTCCACAGCATCAGGATGATGAAAATGGCAAGTGCATTATATTTTTATCTCTTTGTAATCAAAAAAAGAAATGCCACATTAATAATAATCATTTGACAACAAAGCTATTACAATCATGAAAGTTAAATAAGATAGCATCATTCTAATGTGCCAAAATCTACACAGCAAGCAAATCCATGGATTATCAAACACAGCTCAATCTTGGAACTGGTGTGGGATTCATAGGTGCCCACTAATCATACGGAGTATGATCCTTTCAGCACATTGATGTGGAATGAAAGAAATTAATTAATCAAATTTAAGTGTTTCACCATCCAAATCTTTAGTCATTTGTAAGACTAAGAGAGTTCATGCACCCAAAGGAACAAGCAATTAGATATTTTCAGCTTCATCCACAAAATGATTATAGTAGTTAAATAAATGTCAGTATTAATCCCCCCATCCCCGACCCCCTTGATCTCTAACACACGCATAGACATATAATTTTAGATGGTATTGAAGATTATAATTATGATTATGGTGTAACACATTACAGAACAATCCTCGTATATAATTTTAGATGGTATTGAAGATTATAATTATGATTATGGTGTAACACATTACAGAACAATCCTCGTATATAATTTTAGATGGTATTGAAGATTATAATTATGATTATGGTGTAACACATTACAGAACAATCCTCGTATATAATTTTAGATGGTATTGAAGATTATAATTATGATTATGGTGTAACACATTACAGAACAATCCTCGTATATAATTTTAGATGGTATTGAAGATTATAATTATGATTATGGTGTAACACATTACAGAACAATCCTCGTATATAATTTTAGATGGTATTGAAGATTATAATTATGATTATGGTGTAACACATTACAGAACAATCCTCGTATATAATTTTAGATGGTATTGAAGATTATAATTATGATTATGGTGTAACACATTACAGAACAATCCTCGTATATAATTTTAGATGGTATTGAAGATTATAATTATGATTATGGTGTAACACATTACAGAACAATCCTCGTATATAATTTTAGATGGTATTGAAGATTATAATTATGATTATGGTGTAACACATTACAGAACAATCCTCGTATATAATTTTAGATGGTATTGAAGATTATAATTATGATTATGGTGTAACACATTACAGAACAATCCTCGTATATAATTTTAGATGGTATTGAAGATTATAATTATGATTATGGTGTAACACATTACAGAACAATCCTCGTATATAATTTTAGATGGTATTGAAGATTATAATTATGATTATGGTGTAACACATTACAGAACAATCCTCGTATATAATTTTAGATGGTATTGAAGATTATAATTATGATTATGGTGTAACACATTACAGAACAATCCTCGTATATAATTTTAGATGGTATTGAAGATTATAATTATGATTATGGTGTAACACATTACAGAACAATCCTCGTATATAATTTTAGATGGTATTGAAGATTATAATTATGATTATGGTGTGGTTGTGGTTGTATTTTTAACTGTTTTTTAAATTATTTTTTATTTTAAAATATATTAAAATAATATTATTTTTATTTTTTAAAATTTATTTTTGATATTAGTGCATTAAAATAATAATAATAATATTAATTTTAAATAAAAATAAAATTTTAAAAATCTTCAAAAATGATTTTGTAAAAACAAAGACACTCTTAATTGTTTATATAATTTAATGGAACTTGTAATTGTAATGAAATGAAAAACTTGATTTATTTAAAGGACTAAATTTAACTATACTAAAATAGAGATATACCAAATTTAAGTACACTAAAATTGAATAACTTAAATGTAATTAATTATATAATCCACCCTCGAGATGTTTTGGAGTATTATAGCGATTGTTTTTTAATTGTAAGTAATAAAAACTACCAAATTTAAGTACACTAAAATTGAATAGCTTAAATGTAATTAAGTATATAATCCACCTTCGAGATGTTTTGGAGTATTATAGCAATTGTTTTTCCTTGTAATTGTTTTTTACTTGTAAGTAATAAAAAATTTTATATTTTTAAAAAATTATTTTTAGTAATAATTAATATTTTTTTATTTTAATATATCAAAATAAGTTTTATAGTTTAAAAAAATTAATACAATTTCCAACTAATATTAAACTGTAGCTTTATCCAGAGCCATTCCAACTGGCAACTACTACAATTTCCAATCCAGTTAGAAAAACACAAAAGCAACGTGATCGCCAAGGAAGGAAATTACACAAAAACTTTGTTTGTCAATATGTCACTCAACCTATATAAACCCCAAAAGAAACCAGCTTCTCATTCACTTCTCACTCTTACACAAATACAAACACTATGTCTTCTTCTTCTTCTGCTTCAATTGCAAAGCTGAAGGTAGCAGGGACATGGGCAGGACTCTTAGAGGTAGAAACAGAGAATTGGACTGTGCCCATGTTGAGAGAAGAGATTGCAAAGAGATCAAGCATGGGTACTGAGTCGATCAACCTAATTTTTGCTGGCAAAGTCTTGAAAGACTGTACTAGTGAGGAAAAAAGCAGTCTTTCTCAGCTGGGTATTAAAAATAACTCTAAAATTCTTGCTTGTCGTGTCTCTGTTGAGGAGGGTAAAACTTTAAAGAATGAATTGTTGGCTGATGATGAAAGGAACCGTAGACTTGCTCGTATTAGGTGAGTTCTCCTCTTCTTTTTATTTTGTTTATATATATTTGGTTTTTTGAAATCGTATGGCTCAAGGTTTTTCTTTTTTTTATATTGACTTAATTGGAGTGCTGCCGATGATGGGTTTGTAAGTTTTTGATAGGTTTTATTGTTTTGAATTTAGAGAGAAAATTCTTAAGTGTTATATTTCTTGGGAATTTTGTGTCAAATTTGGTCTCTTTAGGTACTTTTTATCGGTCCTTGGGTTCTTGGTGCTAACAGATTTTTGAGATTTCGCAAACATTTTGATTTGGGTATTGAATTGTGTAGGTAGATTGGACAACAGTGCTTGAATTTTTTATGGATTGTTATTGATGCAGACTTAGGTATTTGAGCTTTTTCTATAAACTAAGAAGATGAATCAATGAGTGAAGTATTTTGATATGATGGTCAAATCTGTTGGAAGAAAATACAATTTGAGTTTGAACTCGGTTAATTCTTTATCTGGAAATTTATATAACTCAGGAATGACTAAGCCAAGTTGTTCCAACCCCCAACTAGAATTTTGGATTTATTTGTTGTGCTTCTGCTACATGTTTGTTGAAGATAAATCTCTCAGATGTGCTGACTGAGGATAACATCGTTCTGAACATGTCTTTGTAATTTGCAAATTGTTGCATTTCACATGTGGTTTCTTTTAACTTGGCAGGGCAGCTGTTACTGCATTGTCCAAGAGGCATGCAGATGGTGCATTACCTATAGAAGACTTTGATATTGAACTTGAAGATCAGAATGGGAAGAAAGTGCACTTTTCTGAGACTGATAGACTGTAAGATACTGAAGTAAATTGTGCTTGTAACTTTTCTAGATTGTTTCGATACCTGACAAAAATTCCATGGTTAAGAGTTTAAGGGTCTATCATCCTACTCAATAAGAAGTAAGATCTGAACCATTTTTTGGCAGGGCAATAATGACAGGTCTGATGCTCCATACAAGTGGAAAGCGATTTATCAGAAAGCAAATGTTTACTGATGCACTAGAAGTTCTTACTATGGGAGAGGTTAGTTCCTAGTGCATTTATTTAAATGGTCAATTTATTGCAATTGATTTGTATATTTGACTTCTATGGTTTAATCAATTGTTTTGGAGTAAGTTATTGGTGCGTCTTTTAAGATATTCCGATTGAAATTTTTTAGGGGACAGTTTTTGTATCTACATATTATACTTTTTCATAGATTTCCTTTAATTAACTTATCACAATTCCCTTTATTTTTCATATTTCCTCTGCTTGTCTATTACAACTGGCATTGTGCTCCTTTTCAAAACTTTTCTCATGCATATGAAATGATTTTTAGACTTATTGGATGACTTTTTTTGGCTTTTGGAAACTTGATTGTTGCTTATCAATTGAGAAACCCTCCAGTAATTGACGAAGGAAATGAATATCCTGTTGATTTCTATGTTGCAGGAGGCTTTCTCTCTATGCAATCCCAAGTCCATTGAAGTGAGTGAGCTATTTTTTTGCTTTAACTTAGATGGCTAATGCTAGATCCTTTTCTGGTGTCTTTTATGGTTAAGTAATTAATACTGTCCTTTTCTTTTGCCTTTCGGCTGTGTTGCTTCCAGCTCGTTGACAATATTCCAATACTGCAAATAGACATGGTCTGGTGTTACTTCATGCTCCGAGATATTGCCTGGATTGCAGTGGCAGGATTACGCCTCAAAAAGGCTAGAGAAGGACTTGAGCGTGCTCATGGAAAGGACTCCTCCCGATTCAGACTGCTTCAAGCTGGTCGTACTTCAGAGCTTGCACTGTGAGTGTCTAATGTAAAGTTTTCTGCATGGGTACTGATAGCTGGATTGAAAGTCTTGGTTGGCACTTTGAATGTAACTCCATTTTGTTATTTCTTTGTAGATATTTGCGATTGGAATTGTTGGAAGGAGTGGTGGCTTATCACAGTGGCCAGTTGGACAAATCTAGGAAGTTCTTGGCCTCTGCACAAGAAAAGTTCTTCCAGGTCAAACATTTTTTTCCTTGTGTGCGTGTGTGTAGACATGACATTGTATCAGTGAACATACTTTTTAAGTACATAATGTTTTCTCATCTTGTTTGATATATTCTGGGATAGTTTACTGAATGTTGTCTGATTTTTCTCATTTTGTCTATGGATGATGTATGATGTTTGCAAACTTTTACCAAAATTGAAACCAACGCATCTGCAAATAAGATCTAGTTTTTAGTCTTTTTGGTTGAAGTGGTTGCTTTTGAGGCTTGAACTTTTGCAATTGTCTAAACGTTGAAATCAAATTTATGAATCTCAATATTGAGTAATTCTGGATTCTTCATTTACTTTGTCTTTGATCTTCCATCTCAATGCACTCTTTCTTTTCCTATCAAAGCTTCCTTGCATTTTTATTCCTTCTGAAAACAAGCCCTATTGTGGATTCCAGCTACAAGTGCCTGATGAAGCCTTATCACTTGTCATGAGCATGGGCTTTTGGGAATGGGATGCAAAACGAGCATTAAGAATGAGCAATCAGGATATTCAGAGTGCTGTTAATTTTCTTGTAGTAGAAAGGGAAAAGAGAGAACAGAAAAGGGAAGATGACATTCGTCGAAGAAATGAAATAATGCAAGTGTCATAAAATTGACTTTTGTTTCATATGGGATTATCCCATGTTAGTAACATCATTTCTCTGCTGATTTCCAGGGAGCAGAAACGGTATGGAGTTACACCCTTAAAGAAAGCTGTGGATCTCCAAAGACTGACAGAGGTGGTCTCCATAGGGTAAGCAGGCATTTTAATACCTTTGTTACTGGTGTTCCTGTAAGAAAACATAGTTTCGTGTTGGAAAACTTATTTGTAACAAGCATTAGGAGTGCATATATTTGTGCTTCAACATTTGGTACTCAAACGTTTGTTATCCCAATTTCATGCACATTCTTGGTACCTGAGCTTAATATTGTGTTGGAGGAGCAATTTCATGAACTTCCTCGATATTTTGACATGTTGATTATCAGATTCTTCAATTCTTTAGGGCATTCTGTAAATATGATATTAACACTTGTACTTCCCTTTCCTACTCATTTAACACTTATCGTCCCTGGTAAAAGCTAAGGGTTCCTCATTGTGGCAGGTTTGAGAAGGAGCTAGCTGCTGAAGCTCTTCGAAAAAATGAGAATGATACTCAAAAAGCATTGGATGACTTGACAAATCCAGAAGCTAATACTGCACTTCAGGTTTCTGAAATTACACATGAAATATTGTTGAATTTCATTTCAAACTTTTATCATTACTAACTTGAGTTGACCTGCAGCGTAATATAGAATTGAGGAAAAGAAGAAGACAGCAACGAGCCACTGATGCCACCATTGAACGGCTTGTGTCCATGGGCTTTGAAAGATCAAGAGGTACTAATAAGCAGCTGTGCGTTGTGGTGCACTAATTCTAGGCTGTTTCTATGTTTGTAGGCATTATTACCTTGCCAAGTTAGTGACATTTATTCTTGCCTGCTTTCTGCAGTGATTGGTGCTGTCCAAGCTGGTGGTTCTTTAGAGCAAGCCATGCATCAACTGCTCACACATTCCAGAGCAGATACCACTGTTGCTGCTGAAAACAGTGCAAATGCTCATGGTTCAACTGTTAATAATAATGCTAGTGCTCCTGATTCACCTCCTACCGACCTTGCTCTGGATAATCTGGATCCAGATGCCCTGGATATTGATTGTAGTAATGAAGGTCCATCAGCTGCTGAAATTGAACAGCGGGATGTGGAGATGGAGGGTGAAATTGCTGATGAACTAGCGAGAGGTGATGCATTGTCTGATTATGACATTGAAGTAGCCAAAGAAGGGGAGGCCATCAATGAGTACCTCGCTTTGCTGGCGTCAGCGGATGGCACTTCATCTTCCCAATCTTCCCAGTAAGAAGAAATTGACTCAAAGAATAGCACAAAGTGTATCTTTGTGAATATATTGTGAATAGTGGTAATAGCAAGTCTGGTGATATGATAGAGCCTTAGTGTTTAAGGGTTGAAACTAAGCATAGGCTGCGTTGTTGTACTGAACTGCACACAGCAAACGTAATTGCAGCATCCATCTTGAGAGTGATGGTGTTGGCAACGATCCTTTTTATTGTAAAACAATGACTTCCTGGTTGAAATAAATGCACTATAGAGATGAAAGCCAAGCAGAAGCAACAATTCCCGTTTGTTTGTATTTCTAATAGATTTATCTACTAGAAGAAAGGTTGCCCTCGCAAAGGTAAACGTGGAAGAAATTCATAAGCGCAAGTATTAACTGATCAGGTTTTTATTTTTTATTGAAAAACAATATTATATCATCGAAAAACACATCGAGTGAACAGGAAGCTTCTGATTTTTTTATTTTTTTGTTTCAAGCTTTTTCGAGTGAACAGGAAGCTTCTGATTTTTTTTATTTTTTTGTTTCAAGCTTCTTCTTTTTTTCCTTTAAATAACATCATTCAATTTCTTGATAGAATTAGTATTGCAATTATTACCTAATGCATGTAAAAGATTTGGAAAAGCTTATGGGGCTTCACTTTTTCCGAGTTTTCTTTTAATTTTCAAACCTTTATCCTTTCAATTATATCCCATCATTTAATGATATGGAATTAGTATTACAATTATGGTATAATTATCAAATTAAAAGGAATAAAATTGAATTGTAAAACAAGAGAAAATATATGGCTAATCTAAAAGTTTATTTTAATCCAAAAATTTATTTTGCATATTTTCTAATTTCTAGATTAGAAAGAGAAAAGAAAGGCACTAGTAAGTGGTGAAAAAGAGAGAATGATTAGTTATGATTTCAGCAACTAAAATAATTAAATTTGATATCAACAGATTTTATCCGATGATGAGAGAGTTTAATGATAATGAGTGTTTTTTCAGATGATTTTAGAGTGCTTTGAGGTTTGTAGATAGTTTAGAAAGGATTTTATAGTAGGTGTTTTTAAATTAAAATAAGTTAAAAAAATAAATTTTTAACCTTAAAAACTGAAAAACTTGACCATATAATTTTTTTACCACTAAAGTGGCGTCTAGATTTTAGATTGGATAGGCAACATAACATCTCTTATAAAAATATGGCCCGAGTGCAAGAGCCACAACTTTTTTTTAAGCCTTTGAGCCCCGGGCCACTCAAAATTTGATTATTTTTTTAAATTTTTAATATTGAATTTTTTTATTAAAAATTAATTATTGATTTCTTTTTTAAGTTCATTGATTAATTTTGAATTGATATTTAAATTTTTAGATCAAATTCAAAATTATATAAGAGTTAAAGTGAAAAAAGTTTCAAATTTAACTCGACCAAATTTAATAATAATTTTTAAAAAATCCTCTCACGCTACGTCACAAATTCATTCTTCAATCTTAAAATACAAAATATATTTTAGTAATATTGAGGAATGGGAATCAAAAGAAATTGTAATAACATTTTAATTGAATTCTGTGCGTCCCATATATTACTGGTCCAAACTAAGCTCTCCAAATGTTCTCACCTTTGCCTTCCATCATGAAGCAAAAATCGGCATGTTGGAAAGCAACAAATTAGTGGAATGCATGGAAAGAAATGGAAGAAATTTTGGAGCATCAAGGAATGTCTTGTTCCGTAAAATTTACATGTATTTTCTGATCAGTTTCATCAACCTGGAGTTATCCAAAGTTCCATTAAAACTGTCTTAAGACTGTTTGATGTCAATGGCATGACAGTGATTGACCATTTGTTGCACTTGCGAAGAGAGAGCTATATAAAACACGAAGAACACAATTTGTTAGCTCGTTCAATTTGATCCATATTGACAAAGGTCCCTGTGCGTCGCTTATTCATCTGAATCATAACTAGATGATTCAATGTCAGACACCATAAAAATCTGTTCATCTTCGGGTTTCGACTTCATCTGGCTTAGCTTGTTTGTAATCCTTTGGAAGAAGGTTGCAATTAATGGTGTGCCACACTGGTCTCTCTTCTTGAAACAATCTGCGAAGTCAAAAGTGGATGCAACGCATTATGCATGAAAGCAAGTATTGTAGATTCGGTTGGATAAAATGGCATGTTTCCATAGAAACTTGAGAGTCCATTTGAAGCTATATTAACACGAACTAAATACAAAACAAGCTCATACCAGCAACTCAACAGATAAAACAACATTTTCACACAAGATACAATCACAAACAGATTGTATAACGATATGTTGTTGCTTTGTACAACAATAATATTTTTCATTTCGCTTTGTCGTTCTCCAAGGAGCATAATAATTGTGCTTTGTACAACAATAATATTTTTCATTTCACTTTGTCGTTCTCCAAATTCACCATCTATCATTCTTACAGATTTTTTTACCTTCATTTTGCGATAAACAGCACATGGATATGAAAGCCCAATTTTGTGGTAGTAGTAACATGTAACTTATTCAAATAACAACTTTGTTTAAAGTTTAAACAAGTGATGCAAGGCACCTTAGAGATGATTTTTCACCATAACAAGAAGATTGGCATTTCATTGCGCCCTGGACTGTCAAATTGAGTCTAAAACTTGAGACAAATTGTGTTGATCAATCAAGCCTTAAAATGAAGTAAGGCGCTTTTACCACCAAAGATTGAACAGGATTGCTGAAGTTAACATGCTATTGTATATTTTATTCCTTTGTATTTAAACCATAAGCAATTTAAAGGTTGCAATATTTTATCATGATCTCTAGCAGCAATGGTTTTCACCTCAAAGAGGGAGAGAGACTTACGGGTGCTTGCAAAGCATTGGAGACTGTACTGTAAGAGCATACTTGCACGTGGATAGCTCAATGATAGAACTAATCATAGCTCTGGGCTCTGAGCATACGAATCTCACCTGCACATAAAGAAAACACAGGCACCACATGAGAGAGAGAGAGAGAGAGAGAGGATGCAAAAAAGTAACTTCTCCACCGTACCTCAGTTTCTCGTGGCTCATTTGTAAGATCACATATGGTTCCATTTGTATACTGATGAGCATGATACCTACTCACACAAACAATAGAAATATGATGGTTACCGTCTTGTATTCGCTTTACTTTGCCCACAAGCCGAGTTTACCTCACACTCTTTGCATGGGTTGGTATTTTACCTTTGAGATGCATCTTTTGAATGATGATCCTTCAGTGTAGAAATGTCAGAAAGATTCTGGTTGAATGCAGCCGTGGCTTCTTCATCATACACACCCAAGATAAATTCTTGGACAGCCTGTAATGGGAAATATATGCATCATGAAGGCAATAAAATGCAAGTTGCAGGTGTGCAATGTACAAAGGGAAGCTGAAATTACTGCTGTCAAATGTCCTAATCATTCCAAAATTTGGAAAATAAACTAGGTTTTCCAATATAATAATAGTAGTAGCAACTGCCTGGCATTATTGCTCTTACTATGACAAGCCTAAAAGGATGTATAGGACATCCTATCCACCGAAACTTCAAGAAATTAATCCATCAGCATGCTTCCAGTTACAAAGCAAGGAAATATCAAAACCAAAGGCAAAACAAAAGAAATTAAAAAATCAAAGATAAGAATAACTCATACATGCCCAGATCACAACCTTTTCCTTTTCATCCTCCACATGGAATTGCCTTATTTTATTCTGATAGCATAACTCATAAGACCACCAACCCTCTTGCTGCATCAAAGATACTGCAGTGTAAGAGAAATGACTTGCGATTGATGCAAATTTATTCAAAAAGACCAGATATCAGAAAACAAAAAAAGCACAACTGGAAGCAATTTTGATCAACAAACAGAATCGCATTATTTAGTATGACATGTCCAAAAAAATTTTAGTGACAGATACTGACTCTGACAAAGCATGAGCCTTTCAGTACTTCAAGCAACTCATCTGGTGTCTTCAATTTAACCCGTTCCTCAGTTTCCACAATCATGCTGCTTATATTTAGCTGAGTAATTGGTTTTTCACTCTTGGCTTTCTCCACCTTAGGCAAGAAGCATAAATAATTCTCACCATTTTTGTTGGGTATAACTATTGACTCCTGGTCATCATCCTGCAAAGTTGTCGGATTAAAAAAACAAATCATTTTTTATATATAAGTTACAGAAACCAAATTCCAACACAGAGAGAACTAAAAAGGAAAATAAATTAAGGTTATCACATTGAAAGCTAACGAATGGTCATTAGGTTGTTGCATGAACATTCTTCACACCAAAGAAACTCACAGGCTCCATGGGATGTGGAGAAACTAAAAGAGAAAAAAAATTATTGTTATATCAGTTTGAGTCTGAAACTTAAAAACTGACTTTAAAATAGAGAATCTGAAGCTATTTAAAATTACAACAGAGTTGAGCATTTGCAATGTCATAACACGGTCACTGTTCAATCCCTCAATACCCATCTGCTGCAGAAAATGAACAAGGAAACTCTCTTGACTATCAAATAATACCAACCCTCCTTTGCATGCAAACTTTTTGAGAAACATTCATCTTCCAGATCCTAGCCAGGACAGTTTTTCTCTTTTCAAGTCACAAATTGACTGGCCCCAAGTCCCAGGTTCCCATCATATTCTCATTTTAACTGATCAAAGAGCATGCGGTGATAACAGTGTTAAAAGGCGCATTTTTTAAACATGGACATGCAATCTAGCTGATGACAAAGACTAGCATGATACAAAGATATACGTAGCACAGAAAGGAAATAAAAGCCAAAAACCCTACGCTTGCTTACAGGAAGAAAAGGAGAGTCTTCTGAATGAAATTCGATCTGATATTTTGGTTCACGAGAACTGCGAAATGTAGCACCTGTTGATTAGCAGAAAGTTAACATAGCAGATTTAGAAATACACAAACAGAAGAAGGATATAACTCAACAACATTAATTTAACTAACTCGCTTAACATGCAAAACACAAAAACACCCTTGTAACTGACTGAACATATCAAAACAGGACTTGAAACCTCTAAATTCTTAAATAGTGCCATGACAACTGCCAGCAACAGTCATGGCTGAATTACAACCCCCCATTTAGTTATCCGTGTTTAAGCTTCATTCATAACCAGTAAACTACTTCATGCTTTGATATAAAACAACTAAACAATAAAAGGCCAAGCCGATTCAGCACCACAGCGTATTACAAACTATCATTAACACCCTTTCCCTCTGAATTTTGTCCAAAAAATTACCTTCTAACCAATTAAAGGCACTCCAATGTTCTCCACACAAAACATAAAAATCTTTGTTGAAAAAACATTGCACGAAACAACAAAAACATTCCATGAAACACATTAATAATTAATTAATCCTAAGAAACCAAATTCTTCAAAAATTGAGAAATCATAGCGAAACAAGATAAACCCATGACAAAAACAATAAAATCTCAAAGACCCATTAATCTTATGTTTACAAAGCAATCGACTTTACAGTCAAAGTAGCAATCTTTTTACCTACATGACCAGGGAAGATCTGATCAGCTAAAACATGGTTGCATACAGTGTATAACACCACAATTAACCACAAAAATCTCATCTTTCTACTCCCTTGCTGTGGTTTATTTTACTTTTATTGAACTTTTATGATTAATAATCTAAGAACTTCCAAAAAAATTGCAGATTTTGGGTTTTGCGTTAAGAATTGAAGAGGAAGAGGAAGCGTTCCTTTGCGAGTCTGAATCATGTGTTCTTGAGGCTGAATTGATTGGCAAATGAAGATTCGCCACGTAACAAATAGTGGGCTGGATAAACACATCTAGTCCAGGCTTGTGATGATTAGATTTTAAGATCGAATTTGGGCCCGTCTGTTTGATTGGAGTTACAATCATCATATATATCGAATTTGGGCCCGTCTGTTTGATTGGAATTACAATCATCATATAAAAAATTTCACAATTTCCCGAGTTATTATAATTATAATTTAGTCAACTCAATTCATCAAAAACATTAATTAATCAGACCTTTAATTATATATATAATTAAATGCTAATTGATTGGCAAATGAAGATTCGCCACGTAACAAATAGTGGGCTGGATAAACACATCTAGTCCAGGCTTGTGATGATTAGGCTTTAAGATCGAATTTGGGCCCGTCTGTTTGATTGGAGTTACAATCATCATATATTTTTTTTTCACAATTTCCTGAGTTATTATAATTATAATTTAGTCAATTCAGTTCATCAAAAACATTAATTAATCAAACCTTTTATTATATATATAATTAAATAATCTCTTGATTAGTACTGATCATCCTTAATAAATAATTTTTCAAAATTACCTTCTTTCCTAATCATTTTTTTCCATTTTACCTACTTTTTTTTCTTTTTTCTTTTTTTCAAAAAAGGAAAAAAAACTTAATAAACTAGAAAACACTGTGAGATTTATGAGATAAAAGATTTATAAATGGATTTAATACATAATCTTTTAAATAACAAGGACTAACTAATTAGTTTTTGTTAAAATATCAAGAATAAGTGATAATTGATTCTGATTTTTTACTTGTTGAGGTGCTTGGTTCTTCTTCTTTTTTTTCTTCTTTTTCTTTTTTTTGTCTTATTCTTCTTATTATTATTAAAACAAATCCATTCGCCAACAACTGTATCCTCAGGGATGGTGATATATTATATTTTCCATTTGTTTATTTTTTATTTTATTTTTTTATTTAGTGTTCGGACGCTGAAAATATTTACAGAACTGATCGTGTCAATCTTATACTTGGCGACAGCTCTTGTTAAATAAAATCCCTCCTCATGGCTACAAATAATTTGTAGCTGTGGTGGTAGAATAAAAAATTTGGAGGAACGGGGTAGTTTACAAATCTATTTTATTACATTTTTTTTTATCTAAAAATACTTTAAAATATTATAAAAATTTAAAATCAACTTAATAAAAAAAATCAAAACCGACCACAATCTACCTTTCTTTTTATTTTTATAGTGAAAAACTATATTTATTAATTAAATTTTTTTTATCAAATAAAATTATTAACACAAAGATTTTTTTTATTAATTGGATTTTGATAAAATAATAACTTTTTTTATTTTATGCTTTTTTTACGGGAAAGTAAAAACACCAAAAAATAAATAAAATAAATTTTTGAATTAAAATAAAAATTAAAAAAACTTTAGATTGGCCAATCATTTTCTCTAATGTTTTACATTGTAGCCATTTAGTTTTAAATTTTATCTTTCTACTGAAAATATTATCTTATAGAATTACACTAAAAAATCATTAAATTAAAATAAAAAAAATTGATGATAAAATTTTAAAAAGATATAAAATAAACAAAAACAAATAAAAAAAAGGACTTCACTATTTATACAAAATATTTAAGTATTGTTATTTGTTCCATGCATGTGATGAAATAATTGAAATAAGAATTAAAAACTCAAATATTGTATCATATCAAATTAATTGATCATCATATTTATTATTAAATTAAAAAAATAGATCTATATGGTTTGTTTAATTAAAAAAATAGATCTATATGATTTGTTTAACTTAACGGATCAAGGGTGAACTAGTTGTCCAATTCAAATAATAATAAAAAATATTTCATATCCTTGTTGTTTTAATTTTTATCTAACTCTAACTTAAATATAATATAACAAATTTTTGAAAAATTAAGTCATAAAAAGCACTGAAAAGTAAAAATTAAAAGATAATAATATGTTGTATTGACATAGATTACCAAGAAAAATTTATGATCCGAGTAATAAACACTACCATAAAAGAGTTAACTTGGTTAGACAATATATTTCTTTATTTTTCTTTACTTTTTTCTAGTTGGAGTTTATTGAGTCCTAATTAGTCTGGAGTTTATTGAGTCCTAATTGGTCCCTAGATAGATTAAAATTAGAATTACATTGAAAATTTATAAAAAAAAGTTAAAAATAAAATTTAAAAAATATTCAATATTATATTAATTTTAATTAATCTAAATTAACCTATAAAATTTATAACTTGAGATATAAACATAATCTCAATCAAATGATATATTTGGGCAACATGTCCTTTTCTCTTATTATTCTTCCTAGGTCTTAATGGGGTCACATGGAATTTAAGGAGTTATAAAAAAAACAAATTGGAACCAAACAAAAATAAAGACTTAAATCTATGACTAAAAATCTTAAATTTAAACCTCAATTTTTTTAAAAAATAAATGGATAAAGGTTTTGTTATATGTTTTTGACGCGTGTTTCTCGACTTGTTGGTGCCGGGATTATTCATTTTCAATTGTGGAGGGATGTAGAAGGAAATTAACTTGAAATTTCAACACCTCCATACACCGACCAGTCCTCGCCTTGTTCAATGGAGGAGCGGTGAGTCGTGTTTGTTTGCTACCCTCAAAACCAAGAAATTACGAAGAAACCGAAGGGAATAAAGAAGGGTCAAGGAGTTGACGAGCGGTGACGCGTGCTTGTTTTGTCACGCCTCCTCCATTCGTTTCTAGACACGGAATCCGGAGCTGCGATAAACTTCTTCTTTTTTTAATTAAAATGTATTTATTTTTTATTTTAAGTTATCTATTTAGTATTTTTAATTTTTTTAGTATTTTAATATCAAAAATAAATTTTAAAAAGTAAAAAAATTATTTTAATATATTTTAAATAAAAAATAATTTTCGCAATTCTCCCAAACACTATATAAAAAAAAAATGGGTGCTCGCTTTTGCTCAAGGGAAAGGGAAATTCCAATTTCTTGCTTTGCGAAAACAAAAAACGACTGTCTTGCTTCACAAGGCTTCTGCTGTTGCCGGTTTTATCGTTGCAAATTGTTAGTGTTATGATATTCTTTAAAAGTATTTTAAAAAATATATATTTAGATATTTTTTTATTTATTCTCATTATATTAAAAACATTAAAAAACTAATTTAATATTTTCTTAAAACAAATACATTTTAAAAAATAACTAAAAACAAAAATTATGATTAGTAAAAATAATTTATAAATTAGTTGAGCCAGAAAAATAACAAAAATAACATAGCTTGATTGTTACGTTTTTTTAGCAACACAAATAATAGTAAAACTGTAAAAACAATTTATAAAGGTTGCGTACTGAAATAAATTGTAAAAGTTATATTGTTAGGTATAGCGTAAACTTTATATATATAAAAATTATTGAAACTATTTTTTTAAATGATTGTGTCATTTTTTTTAACAACGCAACTAATTAAATTTAATACCATTATTAGGAATAACATAAGTAATTAAGGTTATTATATATATATATATATATATAAATATTCTTACATAGTGCTTAACACAACTAATTTTTTTGCATTTAATAATTATTTACTAGAGTATTATGTCTTTTCAGATGATAACAGAAACTTTTATCTCATAATATAAGGAGAGTATAGAGAAGAAAAGACTCATAAATAATTTTTTTGGGCTATTTTCAAATATTATTTTAAAATAATTTTTTGGCTGAGGTGTTTTATAAACTATTTTGGTGAAGGTGTTTGTTTTTTTTTTTAAAAAAAAAGAACTCTTCTTTTCTTCTTCTTTGTTCCGTGATTGGCGGTCGTTTATTTAGGTACCACGGAGACCTTGTCTTGCTTTGGATTGCATGAGAGGGACGCACGTGAGAGAAAGAGGAAGACAAGAGGTGGAGCAGCGTGTCGTCCACTCATGGTTTTTGCCGCAATAATAACCAAAAAGGCAATGCATATTGTACACATGGTGTGACGAGGAAAGGCCTCATTAAATTCCTTTTTCTTTTTTTAATTATTATTATTAGCAGAAACCCTTTTCTTTTGATAGAAAAGAACATATAATAAAAGAAAAGAATTTACAGAGATCATGTGGAGAGTCAGAGCTTACATAACTTGTAGATTTTTCTTTTAAAGGGATTAAAAAAAGAAAAAAAAAGGTTTTGCAAAATATTTTTAATTAATTATAATAGCTTTCAGTAAAACATTGTTAATAATATTCATACATCATGTATCCAATATCATTAAAAACAAGGTACTCATTTGAGATAATAATTATTTATATATTTAGAGTTTGTTTGATAATATGGTTATGATTGTTTTTTAAAATATTTTTTTTTAGAAATATATATATCAAAATATTATTTTTTTAATTTTTTAAAATTATTTTTAAAATTAGCGTAACCAAAGGATCTAAAAACACTAAAAAATATTAATTTAAAATAAAAAATTAAAACAATTTAATTTTTTTTAAAAATACTTTTAAACACAAAAAAAATAGAGCTTAGTTGTTGAGTGCTTTGAAAATCTTTGTTTTTTTTTAATTTATTTATAACCATGATCTTATTTTGCAATGATGATTATATAATTGTATATGATCTAATAAAAGGTATGATTAGGGAAGGGATAAAATTAGATAGAAATATTTTTTTAATAAAATAAATATAAAAAAATAAAATTTATGATCCTATAAAAAATGATAAGAATGTTATTAGATATCTTTTAAGTTACATAAAATATTTCTTGATAAGATACAACTATTTTTTTATAAAAAAAATATATATCTAAATATAAAAAAATATTTTTTTATCTCATGACGTGTACAAATAATAAAAAAAATCAATTACAAGTGAAATTACCCTGTCCACTCCCATTTAAATAACTAACAATCCCATCCTTTGTAACTGAAAGACAACTAATAATAATCGTATGCCAGCAAAAGTCACTTGCTTTGAAATCGAGGCCTCTTATTTAATGACTTT